CTATTTACACCTTATGCATATCATTAACACAAACAACCAATCAAAAACACTCTAGATAATATTACGCGCCAATTTGACCTCAAGTTCACAGGTCAAAAGGTTGAGTCTGAGTTAGTGTGTTTACTTTGAGACGATGAAGTGCCTTATTCACCTCGTAGACAAAGATTGTGGAAAGCTGATTAAATTTACAGATACCAGTTGGAATAAGGTTGTTTTAAGTTTTAAAGAATGGACTAATCTTGATGGAAACGAGCTAAAATTGTGCCAACAATATAAAGATGTATTTGAGGGTAAGTTTATCAACTAAATCATACTAAAATTGAAGTAGAGTCGCCATTTTATTTTTTCGCGAAACACAAAATTTTTTGTTGTTTACATTTTAAATTAAATTCTTAATGATAGGCGGATTAAATTTTATAGACACCTGTACTCATCACAAATGCTCGGGACGGTACAACGCAACGGGAGCTTACGTCCGTATATAATATTTCTTGTTTGTTGTCATTGCTGTGTGCAAGTTACGATAAATAATAATAATGTTTGTTGACATTCACATTGTATAGTCTCGTTATATAGTTCATAGATCGGTTTGTTTTAAAATCGATAGCATTCACGCTAGCCTTTGGTTTTATTTTATTAACCCCAGATTGTCTAAGTGTCTTTTCACAAATCAAGTGCAAACAGGTGGCAGTGTCTTATTATTTCTCATAAAAGAAAAGTAATTGTTATTATGGATATTTGTTGCACCTAAATTCTTCTCTCAGGTTCTAATTTGCTTATTTTGTTTATGTGTGCAATAATATTAGGAGTATGTTTGTATTTATAGGGAATAAAGATGATGCACTACCGGTTTATGGCTATCATTCCAAGTGTTATTCGAGATTCACAGACAGAACAAAGATTGAACGAGCTACTAAAAGAGTTGCATTACAGTCTGGTGAGAAGCAAACGAGTGATAGAGTCAATCCACGTCTAGACAAGGTTTGCGATCAGCCGCCACTAAATCATCAACCACCCAAGCTGTCCACCTGCGATAATAATATTTGAAAACAGAAGAGTAATATTTACAAAAGAATATTAACAAAATCATAATTGAGGACATGTCTTGCCTCCTGTATGCACTATCTGCAAAAAAGTACCTTTGGTCTACAGGTGTCAGAATAAGCTGGTTTTAGCAGAAACTAAAGATGGGGGTAAGTTTTTATTATTTGTTCAACCATTGTGATTTAATATTGTCTACCCCCCACCCTCCTTTCCTGGCTATGCCCAGTGTTAGGTAGTGGCATAGGTCCATCGCCCCTCCTCAGCGTGTCGAAAAAGGCCTTTATTGGGGAGAGTGGTCGGGTGGCCGATAGGTGTTATCTATCAGTCTGTCATCATATCCATGATATTTACAATTTTTCATATCTTTTTAGAGTGACTTCGAGAAGCAGCAATTAAGAAAGAAGATGAAACCATTCTCAGGCACATCAGAGATAAAGACTGTGTACCATCTACAATGCTACAAGGATTATGTTCGATTCCTAACAAGAAAACCCACAGTTCAGTCTTCAGGGTAAGTTTCATACTTGTAGTAGTTGTTGTGTCCTTGTGGCTTGTTATATTTATTTTATATCATAGGCCTACATAGGCAACTAGTGGGTGGGAAGGGATTTATATAGGCAAGTGGTTACAAAAAGGTCTGTCATCAATGGATTTGAGTTCGAATCCCATTATCAGCGACCTCAATGACAAGGTGTGGGAGTAGGCGATTTACTCTATAGTATAAGTAGTGCTGGTATCTTTGATGGCAAGTGAATTGGCACAAAATGACCAGATTGTGGTGTCCAAATGCACTAAAACAAAGTACATCCGTTCTAAGAATGTGTGAACATTTTTTACTAGCACTTTTGTACTGTCAAGACTTGTTTGTGATATGATAAGTTTAAAGTGTATTAATATGTTTGTTTTTCTTAATCGACCATCGGCCAATACATGCGATTGATCGTTAAATCTTAAATGGAAATACCACCTAGGATGGGATTTCCTTGTACGTGTAGTAACTATGAACTTAATTTTTCAGGTCTTTAGAGGTGTCTGCATATGAGACAACCTTTGATATATTTTGTGAAGATGTGATTAGAAAAAGAATTATTTTCAACAAAGAAATTCTGCGAATGGCCAAGTTATTAGATATGTTTATTAAGATGGCAAAGGACATTGAACAAGTCGACATTTCAAACTACCGGTAATAATTTGTTATTTCTGTACAATGGTTTTGTCCTTTGGGGGTGGGGGCGATTTAGCCAATTGGTCCGTCATTAATGGGCTCAACGGTTTGAATCCTCTTCTCAATGACAAGGTGTGGGAGTATGCAGGGGTATTCCGGTTTGGCCTACTGTACTACTAATATGTAGGCGAATCATCTGCCATTGCAAGTGGATTGGTGCAAAATGACCAGATAGCAGTGTCAACGTGCAATAAAACAACATTCAGTGGATATGATTTATGTGAATTAATTTTTGAAATGTTGTTTTTAATTACAATACACAGGCATAATTTATATCTTTAAAAAATAACCAAACAATATATCTAAAGATAAATAAATGTGTAAATACTTTTCCATTTGTTGATTTTAGTACTTTGTTTAACTGTTTGTTTTATATGTTTTTAAATTTTACATTCTCACTATTTAAGCATTAATTATTGCACAACTGTTACAGCAAGATTTAAATAAATTATTGATATAACAGTTATTAAAAATTAAAAAAAAGTTTTCTGTATTTTAAAAAAAATATTGATATTGAAATGTAATTGTAAATTGCAATACACACGCCTAATTTATATCTATTTAAACCTTTAATACTAGTCATTAAATAAAAGATTAATGTTTTAAATTTGTTTTCATTCTTTGTTTGGTGATAGGGTGGGTTGCCAAGGGGGAAATTTGGTCTTTGTTCAATATTTATAGGACATTTATGATACGAGTTATCTCCCCTTATACCTTTTTACCTGGAACCCCTATTTGAAATATCACGTTTATGCATTGTTTTTTTGGTTGAAATCAAATATGTCTATGCAATTATCAAATTTATGTATGATTTCTGATAATAAATTAAATTCAATATCAATACAATGACGCTGTATTTTCATAAATAGACAAAAACATGCTACGATGTGCAACATTACTGCTTTGTGGGCGTTTATTATTGGTCCTGTGCAAATACAAATTGAGATATTTCCATAATTTTTTTTTTCAAATGTTGCTATGCATTTTGGCAGTACACACGAAAAAAATCATTCACCTGCAGTAATTTTATCATCCAAAGTCATGTTAGACAAGCATGATAAATTGACCGAGACCCTGGGTAAATGGGTAATATTTTAAAAACTGGCAATATCTGAAGATGGGAATATGGATTTTCTATCACTAGAAACCTTGTATTATAAGAAAATGGCAACATTTTTTAGACCCAGGGGGGGTGCAACAAAAATCGATTTCTAAGCACATATATTTAAAGTTTCATCCAAATCGGATAAAAACTGTGGCCTCTAGAGGGTCCACAACCTTGATAAACTATATTTTTACACTATTTTCACGAAATTCGAATTCAACCATCATTAGTGTATAACTGTGATATATTCACATGTTTATTTTTAAATTGAATAAAAATTGTGACCTCTATAGGGACCACAATCAAGGGCCATAATTCAGTAAGTTACGATCCAATCTGCATGAATATCGACAGGAACCAAGAACATTGGGTTATAAACTTACATTTCAAGTTTCATCAAAATCAGAAGAAAATTGTGACCTCTAGAGGGTCCACAACCTTGATATACCATATTTTTACACTATTTTGAGTACGAGGGGCAGCCATTTAGTCTGTCAGTTTTGGTCCAATTTTTACGAAAGTCTAATTCAAACGGTTTTTTAAATCAGATAAAAATTATGACCTCTATAGGTTCCACAAGCTAAAAACAAAATTTTTCGTACAATAATTCAATAAGTTACAGTCCGAAATGTGCAAATATCGACAGGAACCAAGATCTTTTGGTTATAAACTTACATTTCAAGTTTCAACAAAATCGGATAAAAAAATGTGACCTCTATACGGTCCACAAGCTAAAAACATGATTTTTCGTAAAATCAGGGGTCACAATCCATGAAGTTACGATACATGCCAATATCGAAAGGAACCGAGATCTTAGGGAGATAAACCTATATTCCAAGTTTCGTTGAAATCGGATAAAAATTGTGACCTGTAGAGTGTCCACAAACAAATTGTGGACGGATGTCCTGACGGACGGACAAACAGGGGCGATGGCATAATACGTTCACATGAAAATTCAAGAACCCAATTGAATAATAATATCTTAAGACTCACCGTGATTTTAAAAAATCTTTGTTGGGAAAATTGATGGGATGGTGCGCAAGGGACTCGGTCCATTTCTGGCGGCAAAATGATAAGAACACGGCAGGGTATTATTCGTCAACTCGGTTCATTTCTGTTGGCAAAATGATCAGAACAAAGCAGGGTATTATTTGTCAGCTCGGTTCATTTCTGTTGGCAAAATGATCAGAACACAGCAGGGTATTATTCGTCAGCTTCAAGTCGGAAGGGATCAGGCGACATCTTTTAATTCAGGTTCATTGAACCTCTCGTTTACCGGTAATCTGTGCAGCAAAATTATCTTTCAATCCACCGATTTTCCTCAAAAATTACTGCAAATGCAGTGCTGAAATACTTTCGAGATTTTGGAAGCATAACACTTCAGATTTGGAACTTGTGAGACTGACAGACATGATTGAACTTGTTTTTATGGTTGCTAGCTTGGCGATAGTCCACAGAAGTAGCGACTCGCCGATCAGCATGCACACAATACCAATATATATTTTCATTCAAGGGGAGGTAACTTAATTATTGGAAAGGGCTATACATATATGACAAATTAATTAAATTTTGTAACTGTGTGCTACTGATTTATATGTCGACTAGGGTTGATTATTGTTTATTTACCTCTGGTATAAGGAATAAAAGACCACTTCCTGCCAGACTTCCTACAGCTAGTGCCACCATAAATATTAAGAGTATCTTGTAAATAACCATCTTCATAAAGGGTAACACAATAATACCAACTAGTGAACACAGATTGATTAAAGTAACACACAAAAAACTGTAGCCCCATACTGAAATATAATATAATAACACATTGATTTAATATGTAAACCCACACACTTTAATCAAATTCAATTTCATTTAAAGAGAAGTTCTGTTGGTCATAAAACAAATCTTATCTGGAAGTATGATATTTCTAATAACACGAAAAATAAATAGGCTCAAACTGCATTCTATACATGAACCAATGAGCGGATTTAATAAATATTTATATCGTTAGATAGAGGAACTCAAGGGAAAACGATTGGCTAATAGAGTAATTTGAATTTCGAAATTTCGTAGCAGACTTATTTTCGCCGAAGTTTGATACATTTTAAAATGTTGGAATTACGACTTGAAATTCTGCATGCATTTAAGTTGGGCCAATGCGATCACATCAACAGTTTTACAATTTCGTACGTTCAACTGTTTTTCTGTAATCAAGCTTTAAAGTTTTAGAAATACCTCACTAATTCGGTCAAAAAAGGTCACAGGGTCAAATTATGGAAGCCTTATATTTCTGAAACTAGCCAGAAGAATTGTTCAAGACTCTGGGGAGTGGTTGCTGTGATGATCTTCTATTGCATAAGCTATATTTATTCTGAATAGATGAAAAAGTGCTGTATCTCTGCAACTGATTTTATAATTTTTATACGCCCAGATTGTAATGGGGTTGTATATTGTCGTCACTCCCAGCAGTCTGGCGTCCATAATTTCTTGTGGGCGCTCTAGAGGCTAAAGTTAATATCCGATTGACTTAAGATTTATACTCAGTGTTTAAGGTCATGAGACGAAGAAGCATATTGATTTTTAATGATTTCTGATAATTACTGCCAGAGTTATAGCCTTTGATCACTTTGAAAAATCTTGTTGATGCTCTAGAGGCTCAAGTTAATATCCGATTGACTTTAAATTTATACACAGTGTTTAAGGTCATCAGACGAAAAAGCCTATTGATTTTCAGCGATTTCCGATAATTACTGCCTGAGTTATGGCCAGGGTTGTAAAAATCCACTAGCCCGACACCCAGGGCTACAAAAATCTTGTGGATGCTCTAGAGGCTAAAGTTAATATCCAATTGACTTTAAATTTATACACAGTGTTTAAGGTTGTCAGATGAAGAAACCTATTGATTTTCAAGATTTCCGATAATTACTGCTTGAGTTATGGCCAGGGTTGTAAAAATCCACTAGTCCGACACCTGGGGCTACCAAAAATAAGTTACAGGCTAGCGATCTATTTAGCCGTACTAGTCCTGGACTACTGCCCTTTCACTGGTTTGTGAATTAAACTACTGATATAGATAAATAAATAAATTGTAAAACATCCCACATTTATTTCTCCAATTCCAAGGAAAATTCAATCATAACAAAAGATTTTCTGTAGTAAAACCTAGAGCCATATGGACATTTTTTGTACCTCTACTATTCATTCATTCTTGACATTTCATTTCTCCATCTTGCATGCTTTGACAGGTCAGGCATACACCAGTTGAAATCAGGTTGATTTTAAACAAGCCAACAGTGAGGCTGATGTACCCCACCGAAAGGACAAAATAAATAGATGACACATATTAATTAATCGCACATTTTTTTTTTCAAAAGTATCGAGCAATCAAACTGATTATCAACTATACACTAAGTTTCATCACTCTCTATCAGATAGAATCAAAGTTATCTTGTCCCAAAGCATCGACCAATGAAATTGCTTAGCTCTGCTTAGCTTTAGCTCGAAATGTTAATCATTGAACTCGGTCAAGACATTCACCTAATGAACATCTACATCAAGTTTAAACATTCTACTTCAATTAAAAGCAGAGTTATGTCTTTACCAATCAATTAAATTGCTTATTGCTCCTTAGCCTAAGCAGAAAATTCTCACCATCGAACTTAGTCAAGGTAATGATATGACGAATCTATATTCAGACTTTCATCGCTGTCACTTCATTATAACCAAAGTTATTGTGCCCAAAGCATCAACCAATCAGATTGCTTATCTCTGCTTACCCTAAGCAGACAATGTTTCATCATCGAACTCCATCAAGACATTCACCTAATGACCGCCTATGCCAAGTTTGAACATTCTACCTATTGTGTTCCAAAGTCTCGACCAATTAAATTGCTTGTCGCTCTGCTTACCCTTTGCAGAAAATGTTCATTATCGAACTTAGTCAAGGTATTGACGTAATAAAACTATACACCAAGTGTCCTCACTCTCATTTGTTCATTTGTTTGTGATTTCTGCATATTGTGTCTTGTCCATAGATTTGTTTACTAATAGACAAGGAATGAAGAAATATGAAACAATATTGTTATCTTTACAAATTATTGATTTTAAAATACAGAAAGTATGCTGGTTATTTTGATACTTTAACGGAAATGAAATGGGGTTTAACGTCCTACTATTCTGCTCCGAACTGGGCTAATGAAGGCATACAGTGTGCTATGAGGGAAATTTTGCCAGGACAGCGGCACTACAGCCAGGGATCGTTTACGTGCACATCAATGTGTACACGGGACCATGTTTTTTTTATCCCATCCAAACGACTAGACAGCTGTCAATCCTGCATCACTGACAAGCAGGAACCACGCCAGAAATTCTGGATGAACTTTCTCGGCCAATGCAGGGATCAAACACCTGACCTCCAGGCTAGTGAGCCAGCATCTTACCCACTTTGCCACCGTGACCCCCTGAACACTTATAATGTTTCTCACTATACTTTAAGGGAGGCATAGATTAATGATATCCAGGGTATGGTACATATCTATTCCATATTTGGAATTTAGCTGTCCATGTAGTGCAGTGATGGGATATCAACATTTTTCTTGTCGGACATTTTTACCGAAAATAAAGGGACATAACTCTTATCGTTATTTAAGATGGCAGTTTTTAGACCACACACAAAAATCACGTGTAAACAAAATATTCAAATTTGTCCGTGCACCTCATTATTTTTCATATTTAATTCCCGTACGGTATTCAAATTTTTGTCAGTAACATTCCTACAAAATTCGTAATACGATAGAATGAAAGCGTGCCGACTACTGCCGATCTGTACTGTTTCAAATTCCTCCAAAATTACCGTATTTTTCGGGTCATAAGTCGCTACATTTTTCAGCAGAAGTCTGGCATTCGTCTTATACTCCGTTACGACTAATGTACAGAGGGTAAGAAAATGATATCCCGAAATTTTTTGGGCAATAAACGTCGCTCTACCACAACGAGCGAATGACACCATCCGCTAAATAATCGGATTGTACTCTAGCACGCGCTATCGTCTAAAACAATTAAGTACTTACACTGTACCAATCGACATATTCGTCAATTAACATTACCTAGACTACTTATTTCTTTATTTAAAAACATAAAACCCATTCAAAATATGATCATAAATCTGAGAATATGCCATCAAAATAGAATCTATTCTTCGACATTAGAAGCGTCTATTTTGTCACATATTCATTTCATAATTCCACGCGTCTCGCGAGATTTCTAATACTGGTTAAGTTATCGTACTTTAACCGTCTGAAGCTGTTTTTCTTTCAAGTTTAATCAGATTTTCTTCAAACAAGGACAACTTTGCTCTGAAAATTCTAAACACACTTTGAACGACGTAATTTTGATAACTTCTTTCTAAAACCGGCAAGTTTGTAGGTACATATTACTTACCGTCATACAGCCGAAGCTAGATGTAGAGTAACAGAATCCGCATGCTAGCAATGTCTAGTATTTTTCGGATATGTGTGTGTGTGTGTGAAATAGCTTTATTTAACGCTCGCTTCAACCGAAGTGATATTGCAGACGAATTATAATGACTGTCTATTGATCTGGCTGTTATATACTCTTACAATATGTGACTTCTATGACTAGTTTATACATATTGTCGGCTCACATCAATGCGATTAAAATGTCTGACAATGCAGAAACCACGAGGTTAACACGAATATTAAAATTATAATGGATTGATGAATAGTCCGACAAAGGGGAAACAATGGCTTGTGTTTAAGATTAGATTGATGAATTGTCCGACAAAGGATTAAGTCAGTCAATCAAGGCAGATTAAGTGAGTTAATCAAGGTATAACACGATAAATACGTTGATCACTTAATTACCTAATCAATCCAGCGTATTATCGACGATAATCTGGTTGAGTGGTAGTTATACACTCAGTAAACTATATTAATTTCGGAATTTTGGGCGTTTGGAAAAAAGATTCGGACAAGTCCGGAATATACGGGCAAAATCCCATCACTGATGTAGTGGTTTCCTGAGTCTAGCCACGCTGGTTAGACTATTACAAGAGTTGGTGCTGAGACAAAGAGATGTTAATTTTAAATATTGTAATGTAGACTATTGTGTAACTGTTGTGGCATAAAAACGTATAGAAAAAACATATCGTTGTTCTAATTAAATATTTGATTTCGGTCTCATAAGAAAACACAATGGTGAAGTCCTCAAGAATAGAGATACAACAGTAGCCAGTCCAGAATCAAATAAACCAACACTAGACGATCAGGCTAAAACAAAGATGCGTAGTCGGGTAGTGCTACATCCGATTTGGCGCCAGACCAGAATAAACTTGGGATGAACACAGTGACCAATGGAAAATTGGTTGAAATGGGTAAATACATTTTTTTTTCTGAAAAAGTGAATGTGTAACTATTTAACAAATCAAATAATGTCTATGTTTAGTTAATTAATTTAAGATTAAAATTAAATAAGACGGTAATTTTTAGAAGTTAGAATGTAGTAAATAAAATATATTCAAAGTTAAGGTTAACATGACCATTAAAATGTTAAATTAATTTAAAGTGGGCCTATAGAAATTAGGTAAAAAAATAAGTATAAATTTAAGTATAATAATGAAACGGATAGGGAACAAAATAAAAAATTGATGGTGTCTCCAGCTCTAGTAGGGAGCCAAAGATTGGAATTTGTGTGTGATTAACTTAGAATTTGAGTAGAAGTCTAAATTATGATGTAAGCCAAGTAAAGGCTAAAAAGAATTATTTAATCTTTTAGTATAAGGTTA